GATCTTGGAGTAAGGAAGAATTTATTAATCACACATGCATACATACTCACAAATTTTAATAGAAAAGACTGATAAATGTGACTGCTTTAAATATTAAAATGTCTATGGAAAAAAAAATGACACTATGAAGTTAAAAACAAGCCATACAGTGGGAGAAGACATTTGCCACACACGAAATTGAAAAAGAAACCGTATCCAAAAGATACATAATAAATACATTTTGAAAAGGCAACCAACCCAAAAGAAAAATGAGCAAAGAATACCAACAGGAAACAAACAGAAGGAACTAGAATGATCTACAAATGTATGAAAAGATGCTCAACCTCACTAGTATTCAAGGAAATACTTGTCAGACTGGCAAAAATTAAAACTCAAAAGTTACCAGTGGTATGGTGTCATGGGAACACATAGACCACTGGTAGGACTATTAGTAAAAAAATTGGAAACAACCTAAATATCCATCAACTGGGGAATGAGTAAATTAAGTGTGTCATGGTTGTACTATGAGGTTGCTGTTCAGCAGTGAGATGACCTACATGGACAGATCTCAGGAAATAATGCTGAGAATGGGTTGACAGGAAGTGGGAGATAAAGGGAACTTCAACTTTTCCTTAAGTATTTTACTCTTTTTATTAAAAAAAAATTGGAAGACAGGGGCGCCTGGGTGGCTCAGTCGGTTAAGCGCCTGACTCTTGGTTTCCGCTCAGGGCATGATCTCAGGGTCAGTGGGATCGAGCCCTGCATTAGGCTCCACATTCAGCACGGAGTCTGCTTAAAGATTCTCTCTCTCTCTCTCTCTCAAATAAATAAATAAATCTTTAAAAAATGGAAAACAAAATAAATATGGTAGTGTATTTCCACTCTGCATGGCAAGAACACAGTGCTTGCTATATTCTTCTCTGAACATTCCTATATTTTGAAAGCTCTAAGTGAAAGGTGTGGCATGAGATGCTTCTGATAAATACTCAGTTTAGGGAACCATCATATTAAGGTACTAGTAACTTTATATGTTAACCTTCCCAGGGACACTTTCATTTTTAAAGAAGGCTGCAGTGTTTAATCCAAAGCTTGAGGCACTGTGGGATTTGCTGTCACTTATGAACTGTGGGTTATGGAGTTTTGAAGACAAAACTTCAAAGGGAGTTATCTTCCTCCCCTGTGCTAGTCTTGCAATTTGGGTAAGTTGCCACGGCTCTGAGCGAATGATAGGCTCCCATTAAGTTGGACAGCTCAGAGAGAACAGAACATTTTCCCATTCAATGATGCTTTCATTCTTTATAAATACAACTGCATTTGAAACAACTCCACGTGGAATAAAATTTAGAGCCAGGTTTATAGAAACATGGACACCTATGTGCAAACAAACCCCCTCAAATTTTATCAAGCATGGATTCTATCCTGCTCGTCAACCTGGAGTAGACTGAACACAATTTAAATATTTCTTGGTTTGTCTGTGGAGTATCAAGTCTTGTCCAGAACTCGGAGACTCCTACTCCCTTCACCCCGATCAACTCTGCCAGTTGTTTAAACGGCTCGAATCTTTCTGCAACCACGGCTTTTAAGTGAGAGTCTTTTTATTGCTTTGGGCATGTTCCTTCTCCTAGCCAGTGCTCAGAATTTTAACTATCTAACTATTCAATTTCTCTCTGTCTCTTTACATGGGGGAGAAACTGGATTTCTGTTCCACACAGCTTGGCAAAAGCTAGCAGGGAGTGAGAGATTACAGCCAGATGTACATCTGCATGTCAGCAGCAAGAAGGTCTGGGATGGTGCTTTTTCAATCAGAAGGGAGTCATTTTCCCCCTCTCAAAGGAGAGGGCCTCCTCCCTCCCATCAGATATTTGGCGGCTAGATGCTCACTGATTAATTACTGAGGTCGCATCTACACACAACTGGTTTTCTTAACAACAATCCTAGCAGGTTTCCAGTTCATTCCTGAATGTGCTTCTTATTTTTAAAAGAACTACCCTCCTTTCCCAAAGCATAGAAATAAAGCATAATTTTTTAAAAGATTTTATGTATTTATTTGAGAGAGAGAGCACGAGAGGGGGTAGGGGAGAGGGAGAAGCAGACTCCTTGCTGAGTGGGGAGCCCGACACAGGGCTCGATCCCAGGACTCCGGGATCATGACCTGAGCCGCAGGCAGATGCTTCATGGACTGAGCCACCTAGACGCCCCTAAAGCATAATTTTAAAACAAAGGATTCCACCACAATTTCTAATAATAGAAAATCAAGCACCAGTGGGGGAGTGTTTTCAGGGAAAAGGAAACATTTTGAGTACCCTTCCAATCAGAACACCAAGCCAATCAGTTATTCTATTTGCACATCACATGATGTATCATTCCTAATATTTTCTGGTCAAGTCCAGAAAAGTAAGGCAACATAGGCATCTTTCTCTGTACCCCAACGGCTCTCCATATGCCTAAGAGAGAGAGCATATCAAGTTCATTACTAGTAAGCTCCTTTTTCTAGTTTGACTCATTACCGAGAATTTCCATCTGTTTTCCAAGACATCTGAGGTCCCCAATACAATCACTCCATTAAACCTAACCTGGAAACTGCCTCTGGGATCACTTTCTCCTTTCTAAGGAGCTCAACATGCAATGCAGCCGGTGCTAGAAGTAGTTGATTGCAAGAGGTATAATTATGGGTTCTCCAAGACAAGCGAAATTTGCAAGAATGGGTTGACAGTCACCACTTTAATTAAGATCGCATCTCTGTATCAAGGAAAATACTGGAACCTCACAAATGAGCAGAAGCTCTGTGATATCAATGACAATCTGCTATGCAAAATTTGGGGGCAATCCAAATGAAAATGTGTGTATTACAGCTCTGAAAAGCTGCACCTACCCATCTCGCCTCCCCAGGTTCATCTCTCTCCTCTCCCAGATAGCACACATCTCCAATTCTCAACTGCGATACAACTGACAGATGATATTCGCCTGTGTCACATACTCCCATGGGTGTACTTGGGGACTACACAATTCTTGGCCCACCAGCTATTAATCGGGCCCTTTTCTCTAACTCCCATTAAAACATACTGAAACGCAAGCAGGCACAAGTGACGCTGTTACTAGAAGGATAACCTTGAATCCATTCCAACTTATAACTACAGTAAATCAGTCAGCAGTGTTGGTACAGTCACTCCTATCAGTAACAAGTTATTTACATTAACACTTTACAGCCAATCATGACACCTCAGCTGTGGCTAACAATGGTTCCTCTTGTCATGTCAGTGACCTGCCATGCTCTCTCACGCCTCCGCACATGCTCTTCCCTCTGCTCCAAAATGTCTAAAACCCCACCCAATAAGTCCACAAAACAAGTTTGTTGACTGACTGAAGGAATGAATGAATGAAGTGCTTGCAACCTCAGATAAGCCTCCCACTGCGTTTGTAACGTTTGCACATTGGGCAGCAGCCACACTTCGATGAAAAATAACATTCTGTTACGAATAGGAAAGTCAACTGTGATTATGGGCAATTTTCTTAACCAGAAAGCATTGAGTAGTAAGATGCTTTGCAGCTGTACATTTTTATTAAGGACCATTTAAATAAACATAAAACATGTTTGCCAGGAGAGGGTAAAAAGACGGATGCAAATTTCAGTCCGAAAAATAGGTACATTCATTCTTTTTTGCATTTGCCTTAAAATGTGCCCCTAAAACAGCAATTACCCTTGGATGTCATTTTTGACCAGCGACAGGGACCAGAAATAGTGACTTAATTTAGGCAGGAGTTTGCTAGGACATAATATGGCTACTGTGCCTGGAGTCTTTCTTGGTCATAAAAGCAGTAAGGAAGTATGACATAACGTTGTGATGGTAAATCACAGCCCAAGCCATTTTGGTTGGCAGAATTTGAAAGACAAACATTACTTCAGGAGCAGAGAAGACGTGCCTAATTACCTCCGTGCCTGGGCTGGGTTCCCTGCAGCTTGGGTCGTTCCTGGACTCAGGTGTGTCCACACGGCCAGGGGCCACGTGTGCGGGGGCAGTGTCGGGGGGGGGAGTGGGGGGGAGAGTAGGCGCCTGGGGATGTGAGGACTGGCAGCCCCCCTCTGCAACCTCCTCTCCAGGGAAATCGGGCCGCTGAACCAAAGGAGAAGGCAGCCTCCAGGGGCCCTGTGGAGCCTAGAGGGAGTGAGACTGGGGAGAGAAGAGAGGCTGGTCCCAGCCACTCTGCCTGGGAAGTGGTGGGGAGCTGAGCCCATCATATTTGCAAATCTGCCATTTTTACCTCGGGCCAGCCCAAACCACCTCCTCCTTCCCTCCTGAGGTCTCCCCATCTGGGCACAGCCAAGGCCCAAATGGGGTTGGGGACTCACCCACCCCAGGGGTGACCACGGTCTTGAGATGGAGGCTTCTTTCCTTGCTTGGTGCATTTTCAGAGCTCAGAAACCTCCATTCCTTTGTAGCTTTTATTTGACACTCACAGCCCCAGGCCCCCCTCCTTTCTTGCTTCTGTTTTCTCTCTATCTGTCTCTCTGTCTCTCTCTGTCCCTTTATGGAAATTGGCTGCCCTCTCAAAGTAGAGTAGAATATAGTAGAATCCCAGCAAGGCTTTCCCTGGGGCGTTCATCCCTTTGCCAGAGCTTTTGTTTTTCTCTCTCATTCCTCACATGTATACCCCAAATCCCAGTAATTCTCCACCTTTTTCTTTTTCATTGCAGCAACACACACAGAACATAAAAATTGACGTTTTAAAAAAAAGATTTTGTTTATTTATTTATTTGAGAGGGAGGGTGAGAGAGAGAGAGAAAGGAAAAGAGAGAGCTGAGAGTAAGGGAAAGAAGAGGGACAAGCAGACTCTGCAGAGCGCGGAGTCCGATGCGCGGCTCGATGCAGGGCTCGATCTCAGGACCCCGAGATCGTGACCTGAGCTGAAATCAAGAGTCGGATGCTTAACTGACTGAGCCATCCAGGCGCCCTGACATTTTTTTTAAAATCCAAAATGTGTTTATTGGGATAGTTTCCCATTCACCTTCATTTTGGGTGCTTTTAGTGCTGCTTCTGTCTGATGGAGCATCCCTCTGTAAGCCTTGCTTTTCCTCCTGTGGGCTGCAAAGGGCAGAGGGGCAGCTGGCAAACAACCACGGTTTGTGCGTGGCTAGAGATGGTAGTGACTCCGTAGGATCCCGGGCATTTCACGTCCGTGAAGCAGGAGTTGAGTGTCTGCACCAGGTGCTTCTTCTTGTGCTTCCTCTTCTCCTCTTCCAGGGATGGGTGGAGAAGGTCCTTCGTGAGGGGCACATTCTTATGGGGAGGTTGTCACCACCAGAAAGGCCATAAAATTGACGTTAACCATTTTTAAGTGTCCAGTTCAGGGGCATTAAGCACATTCACACCGTTGTGCACCATCTTTCTCCAGAATTCGTCTTCCCTGACTGAAACTGTACATATTAAACAACTCTCCTTTTGCCCCACCTCAAGCCCCTGGCAACCACCATTCTGTCGCTATGAATGTGACTACTCTAGGTGCCCCACGTAAATGGAATCGTATGGTATTTTGTGTGTGTGTGACAGGCTGATTTCATTTAGCCTAACATCTTCAGGTGTCATCTATCGCGTGTAGCAGGTGTCAGAATTTCCTCCCTTTTTAAGGCTGAATAATACCCCCCTGTATGGACATACCACCTTTTGCTTACATTGCTTCCACCTTCTAAACTTGCCTTTGAATTGTGGAAACATTAGGCATGAACACCCGAAGTGCTGAAGCTCTCCAGTGCCCCATCCTCTGCTCTCCAGAATCCTCGTCTCAGACCACCACAACCCCCAGGTATTACTAGCACGCAGACCAGTTGCTAAGTGGTTGGCATACTCTCTTGTGCTTAATCTTCACAACAATGCAGTGAGGTGGGTGTTTCTCCCGTATAACAGAGTCTTCTACTGAGACGCAGAAAAGCTAAGCGACTTGCCTAAGGCCAGTTAATATGCAGCAGAGCTTGGATTTGAAACCCCCAATCAGGCTTGTCTGACTGCAAAGCCTCTACTCAGAAGCACGTTCCCAGTGCCTATGCAAGGCCCAGAGGCCCTTTGCCACCAGTTCCTCCTGTTTGGTTTCAGATTGGGTTGGTTTGTAAGAAAAGTAGAGCTGACTCTATGCACTGACAGACCATTGACCACATGTGCCTGGAAGGGCCCTTTCGATCCTGAAATCCTGGCCACCCCCCTCTTGCGCGCGCATGCGTGCACGCGTACACACACACACACACACACGCATGTACACACACACAAAGAGTTCTGAAATCATTCTACTCTGGGGGCTGTCAAGACTTCTCTATTGCTGTTTAAGCCAGGCAGCGAGCATTACTGAGATGCTGGGATTTGTTTTAACTTTGTTCATCAGTTAGCCGAAAGAAGCCTGGCCTAGACTCGGGACTTGGTTCGTGTTCTTGGATCTGCTACTCTTCCATAAGCTATTTGTTTCACTTCCTCTCCGGAGGCAATCTGCTCTTGAATGGATTAATTACAGAGGTGCCCAGCATTTGAAAATGCTAGAAGAATTAGGCTTGAGGCTGTTGGCAGATGCTTACCTGTTCGTGTAAGTGTGCCTTAGAAGCCTGAGTGACACCACTTTCTACCAAGGAAAAGAAGGGCTGAGGGGCTTTGTGGCTGAGACTGGGGGTGGGGGCGGTGTGTGGAGGGGTGCCCCATGGAGGTGAGAAAAAGCCTAGTGAGGCCGGGAACTTGCAAATAGAAAACACAAACTCAATTGCCTCAATTTTGCTAGGAGCTGGCCAAGTCCACAGCTCCCTCTGATGCTACCCCAAAGGCTGGCCAGAGTGGTTCTGCACATGCCGGTACCCTGGGCAGCAGCAGGCCCAGCTGGGTAAACAGAAGTGCAGGAGCAAAACAAGCCAATAAATCATGGCACGGCTCTAGGCTGCCCCAGTCCCCTCCTCCCTCTTCCTTTCCAGCTCCCCCGGGTCTCCCTATCAAGCAAATGGGCCCAGGTGTCCTTTGATCTATCTCCTTGCCCTTCACAAGGGAGAAATGTATCCATAGGAAGGGTGAGCTCAGCCCCACCTGTGACCTGCCCCAGGGTTCCTTGCAGGGAGCTGTGAGCTTCACACATCCAGTTGCTAATGGCAAAAGAGAGAAGCAGACATGGGGTGTTTGAGAAGCTTAAGGTTGGCCTATGGTTAGAGGGGCCCTGGGTGGTTGACCTTTATAGAGTTACAGAGATGAATAGGCCTGTTCTCCACCTCAAGCATGAGCCATCGCCTATACTAAGCACACGGAGCCCTGATGGGACCAGAGCTAAGCTCAACTCCACCACTGCTCCTTTGCCTTGTGGCTTGTGTTTTTCATACACTCCCTATGCTCGTAATTTGGAGCTCTCACATTTTGGAGAGCCCTCATCCTGCTAGTAAACGGATATATCGCCCACTGTTGGGTCATTGATCCACAGAGGCCTTCTTCCTCCAGGAGCCCCATACAGTGTCCTGTTCTACTGGGTAGAGATCTTCTGACTGCTGTACCCCCAGTGCCTAGAACAGTGACAACATCTCATTGGTGCTGATTAAACACTTCTTGAGTGAATGAATGAGTTGGCATAATGTAATGGTGGAGGGGTCAGTCTCTGAAGTCAGAACAGAACTGCAGTCCAGGTTCTGCCAGTTTGACCTTGAGAAAGATAACTTCCCTTGGCCTTGGTTTTCTTGTCTATAAAATAATATCATAAAAAGAGTAATGTGTGAATTAAAAAAAAATAATGCATGCACTGCGCCAGTGCATGACCCGTAAGTCCTCAGTAAGATGTTAGTTATTATTATTTTGTATATCAACTCCAGGCAACTGGTCTAGGTTGCTGGGGGTGCTGAATTGAGGATTCTGTGGTCTCAACCCAACTCGATGGAAAAAAGTGCTCTAAGGCTTGCTATGAGTGAAGATAGGAGAAATGGGAGCTTACTTACAGGGGATTTGCCTTCTCTGGTTTGGCCATGAAAATGGCCAACCCTGAACCATCTTGGAATACTCTTCAGGGAGAAGTACATTGTGTACATATGGCAAATTGCTTTTATCAGCCATGCAGGTGTAAGAAAAAAGCTTAGGGCTTCAGTGGGGACTGCCCCCCACAGTAAAGGCAAGGGTGGAGAGTAGGCCTGCCTACTAAAATTCCAAAACTATTCAAATACCCCACTGCTTGCCTAGGGTTGGAAGTAGCATTCTTTTTTAAAAGATTTATTTATTTATTTGAGAGAGAGAGCATGAGCAGGAGGAGAGGGCTGAGGGAGAGGGAGAGAATCCTCAAGCAGACTCCCCACTGAGCATGGAACCCCATACAGGGTTCAATCCCAGGACCCTGAGATCATGACCTGGGCCAAAATCAGGAGTCAGATGCTCAACAGACTGAGCCACCCAGGTGCCCCAGAAATAGCATTCTTCATCAAAGAAGCAGACCCTGATGGGAAGTCACTCCCCTATTCTTGAGTCTCTGGTTCTATAAGAAGAATGACTGTCTTTCCATGTGCTTGAGTCTGTCAAATATCACACACTATATTTCAAACATGTGAGCTGACATCATGTGAGCAATACTGCACTCATTTCCAACCCTATTTGAACTTCAAAGGACATGTCAGCCACATTAGTCCCACCTAAGTATGTGGCACTTTTGATCAACAGGTACCTGATGGCCAAGAAGACTTAGAGGCCCATGTGTATTTAGAAATGGAGCCAAGAAAGAGAATTTTTGACTAAAGGTAAATGAACTTAAGTCTTGTAAAGTTCGAGTTCAGCTGTAAACACAAAGCACATGAAGTCAGAGAAAGTCTTAAATTCTCTATCTGAAAACACTCCAATGACATCATCTTGAGCCGGGGAGTGTCTTTGGGGTCTGGAGAAGTGTGAGCCAGGAAGCCTCCATGGAGGAAAAAAAAAATGTTCCCCGTCACAAAGTCTCTCCAAAGACTTCTGGCTCTCAACAAAGCGGTAGGGTGGACTTGAGCTCCGAGGGGCACTGTGAGGGTAGGAGTATAACCTTTCACTCCCCATTCCCTGAACGAGCTTCACCAAACAACGAACTTGCCTTTGTACATTACTTGAAAAGTACCTAAAGAACACCCTGCTCTCCAGAAATACCTCCTTCTTGGCCTCTCTCGCAAGTCACCTTTTTTTCTTTTAACAGCTTTAGGGCTTGACATTCCTCATGATCAGAGAATTTGGACAGGGTAACTTAGGGAGGCCTTAGCAAACAAGAACACGTGACTCAAGCAAGTGGATGCCATCTGGTCAGTTAGTAAGGCTTGTGGGCAAGGGGCACTCAATAGGGAACCAATTATGAGAGTAGTCTCAGGGCCTAAGGTCCCAGCTAGGGGGTGGGGGCGGGCAGAGACCTCAGAGATCTAATCCTAGGACCTGGCTACCTGAGGCCACCAGGGGCTAGACACAGCAGCAGAAGAGGGAGATTTGAGGGCAAAGAAAACAAATGTTTACATTTTGCCTGGAGCCACACTGGGCAGCACTTCTCTCAGAGTCCTTCTTTCTCACCAGACAGAAGGGAGACAAAGCTGAAAGATTGCTCACCTCCTTTTCTCTGCACGCCTCCCTCCTTTGCCAAATGAATGGGGTACAAAGGGGCCTGTGAATGATTGTGTTTGGCAGAAAGGCTAGGCCCCCTCTTTATGGGCTGCTTACTGATAAATAATTTATAATAGTCATTCTCTAAATAGAAAGAATTTCATTTTCGCCTCACACCTGGGCAAAACTATGGACAAATATTCTTTATGAATATAGATGTAAAAATCCTCAAAAAAATTCACAATAGGTGAATCCATGGAGACAAAAAGTAGATTAGTGGTTGCCAAGGGCTAGGAAGAGGGAAGAATAAGGAGTGACTGTTTAATGTGTATGGGGTTTCCTTCCGGGGTGATGAAAATGTTCTGGAATTACATAGCGGTGATGATTGCACAACAGTGTGAATGTATTAAATGTTACTGAGTTGGACACACTGAAATGGCTGAAATGGTGAATTTTATGTTATGTGTATTTTACCACAATAATAAAAAATCTTCAACAAAAATATAGTTGACCCTTGAAGAATGCAGGGGTTAGGGGCCCAATCCCCCCATGCAGTCAAAAATCCACATGTAACTTTTGATTCCCCAAGAACTTAACTACTGCTGACTGAAAGCCTCACCAATAACATAAACAGTCAATTAACACATATTTTGTATGTTATACATATTATATACTATATTCTTACAATAACATAAGCTAGAGAAAAGAAAATGTTATTAAGAAAATCATGAGAG